CCCCTTTTGAGTTGTTCGCCGCCCTGAGTCCCTCCCGGAGAAGGTCGGCATATAAATAAACTAAATCTTAATCTTAAAATCTTAATTCTAATAGTATTATTATTATTATTGCTGGCAGGTTAAACCAATCTACTGCAAGTTGAAGGTTTTAATTGAAGGATATGGTCCACAATGTACCATACTGATCCAGTATGGGTCAGTAAATGGGTATTTTTCAATTTCCCAATTTCTAGATAGGGCAGAGAGAGATTTGGTCTCAAGTCACCCTGCTGACCACCTTGCATAAGAGAGAACAAGAATTTGGGTCTCTACTCATAATCCAGCACCTTAACCACTGGATGACATTGGCATTTTAAATGCCCCCAAATGCTTGACATTATAACAGTGTCACCAATGTGTTGAAAATTTCACAAATCACATGTAGTCTAGCGGATCTCTCTAGCAATATTTGCTAAATCAACTCAAGGAAATTTTAGAGAGATGGTAGAACGTTGATAGCAAATGATTAAACTTGCCAAATTTTCTTTGCGCATATGTATGTATGCGCAATAGTGTGCTCAAAATTAAATTTTGTGTAAATTAATGACATATCTCTAATATGACTATTGTTATTTCCTTAATAATTGTTTCCTTGGGCAGCTTTAAAAGTTAATTTTTTTTCATGCTCCTGGGTCTATGTGCTGGCTTTTGTAGGCTACCTGTGCCTAAGATTGTGTATCTTTGCTATAAAAAATACATCTATAATGTCATTTTGCCTTATGTCGGTTGAACAAAAGGTTCTCTGCTCTTTGACTATCATGCTGAAGGTCTCTTTAAATGATATTTTGAATCCAATTCCTTAAATGATAATTTGAATTAAATTCTTATAAGGATGGGGTTGGATTATCTCCTAGGCTGTGTTCTAGCTAGAATATATCTACATTACCAAGGTATTTAAGTTAAGGTAAAGTCATTTGGGATTCCTGCTTTGCAAGAACATTATCCAAAGGAGAAATACTGTTTAAGAAAGCAAGAAAAAAAAAACTGGAAGAAAGGGAGATGTGGTTTATCCCTTGTGAAATAGGAGGCATACTTTGGTTGTCCTCTGACTGTTAGGCTCCTTCTCGTTTTAGAAATGATATTTTTACAAAACATTTCTATTTCTGTGACTGCAGCCAAAATGTCAGCATTTTTATAGAAAGTATTTTACAAAGTGGAGTGTGCCAATCTGAACACGCCTTTGATGTGCCAATTTTTCTAAAATGCAGCCTACTTACTAGTTTTTGGACTGTGGCCTTCATTCCAGAAAATGTTAAATACTCCTGGCTGAAAATAAGAGGAAACTTGATAGACAAAAGTTCTATTTTTACTCCAGCTGTGGCTTCTGCTTGCCGACAAAACTTAGGCAGGTAGATATCTTTCCCAGCCTTTCTTTTTTTTTGCACATTTTTGTCATTTAGAGCGCGAACCTTTGGAACTTTAAAATATGTGGACATCAACTCCATGCTGGCTGGAGAAATCTGGGGCATTGAAGTCCACATTTCTTAAAGTTGCCAAGGTTGAGAAACGCTGATTTAAACTTAAAATCTTTAAAGAGCCAAGGTGGCGCAGTGGTTAAATGCAGCACTGCAGGCTACTTCAGCTGACTGCAGTTCTGCAGTTCGGCTGTTCAAATCTCACCGGNCCCCCCATAGATATGTTAGAAGGGTAAGCTCCTCTTACCCAACAGGGCCACTAAGATTTTAGGAACTGAAGTTCCACACATCTGGAGTGTGCTGGATTGTAAAGATCTAGTAGTTTAGGCACTAGGCTAGGAAAAGGAGACCATGAGTTCTAATCCCACCTTAGCCATGAAGCCAGCTGGGTGACCTTGGGCCAGTCACTCTCTCTCCACCCAATTTGCTTCACAGGGTTGTTGTTGGATGGAAAATAGGACGAGGAAGGTGTCTTGGATATGTTCACCACTTTCAGTTATTTCTAAAAAACAATAAAGATGAGATACAAATAGATAAAACAAATAAAATATGCTGTAACAGGATTTCATTTCTTTTTCTTGGGAGAGTGGAAAAGATCTTCCTGCATCCCACAAAAAACAACAACAACAAAATATATTCTTGATAGAAAAGGAAGCAATTTGATTTTGTTTCATTGTTCTCTGAAGCTCAACATCAGCCACTCCACACAAGAAGATAATAGAATGCGACATCTTATTTCCTTTTAAATGATCTTAGCTATTACTATTCTGTTCAGATATATTTAAACCACGGTATAAATATTTACACAGAATTATTCATTCTTTTCCCATCTTCACATTTCTGCTTGAAAATTGTGCTAAGTCATTTTAGGCATATACAGACACAGATTTGATGAATTTGAAATAATTGCACAGAGAAAGTAATGCTTTTTTGCTAATATAACGTCTTTGTCTAGTTTTAGAATACCATGAAACTTGCATTGTGATGGGTCTAAAAAGGGCATACAGGTCCTTACAAGGGTGTCATAGGAAGTCTTACTAGAGAACACACAAAATAGTACAAGGCAACAACCGATAATTTCAACGAGAGCAGTTCCAATGCAGAGAATATTTAACTGTTTAACAATTAAATAGGCAATGGCATTAAAATTCTTTGTTTTCAAAAAAATTCTTTATTGTCACTTGTCCTGCCTCTTTTAATTACTGGTGTAAATACATTTAATTGCAACAAAGGCCTCTTGGAAGACATTAACTGCTCATGGAAAAGTCACCAATTTACATGAGTGAATGAGTATAAATATTTAGTAACACACACGATAGAAGCAATTCAAAGCATCAAGCTGTCACTCATCCCACTAGTTCTCAATCAAGAGGGCACACCCAATACATATGTCTTTCTTGACTGTTGTTCTTTCCTGTTTTCTCTATCCAGTGAGATCAAACAGTAGATTAAATAAAATCCACATATTTCACTCTTTCCTCCTGGAGTTCACAATTACAGCAATACCACTTAGACTTATATTCCATCCCACAGAGCTTTTCAGCATTCTCTAGTTTGCAGAGCAGTTTGCAGAGTCAACATATTGCCCCCAACAATCTGGGTCCTCATTTTACCGACCTCGGAAGGATGGAAATTAAATCAGTTTTGAGCCAGTCAGGATCAAATTCTTAGCAATGGGTGGAGTTAGCCTGCAATACTGCATTCTAACTACTGCGTCCCCAGCAGGATTATGGTTCAAATATTATATGAAATGTTCTTTGGATTATTATATGAAATGTTCTTAGAAGTGAATAACTGTGGAATGCNACACACACACACACACATACATACATACATACATACATACATACATACATACAGTATTGTCGGTTCCTTATATGTCTATGGATGTTCTCAGTCACCAGTCAAGATTGTCCCAAAGGTGCTTTTTCAAGAGGCAACTAGACTTTCTTGTTTTTCTTTGAAGACTTTTCACTTCTCATCCATTCAGCTGAAGAAGCTTCTTGGATGAGAAGTGAAACTTCTGTTCCTTATATACGTATATAACACTGGATTGTTCATTAGCCATTTTATTAGATGGAGAGGCCTATAAGTTTAAAAAGAAAGTTATGTCAGTGAAAAATGTTCTAGGCTGTTAAGGGAAGGTTCATTCAAGATACTTTTGATATGCTGACTTCATAAGACCAAGAAAAGGTAAAGATTGCAGTTAACAATGGATGCTGTCGCTGTAGAAACTTAAAGATCTACAGGTAGTGCTTGACTCATGATCACAATTCAGCCCAACATTTGTGGTGCTATGCAAGACATTTGTTAAGTGAGTTTTGCCCCATTTCACAACCTTTCTTGCCAAAGTTGCTAATAGTATGGTTGTTAAGGGAATCTGGCTTCCCCATTGACATTGCTTGTCAGAAGGTTGCAAAAGATAATTGTGTGACCATGGGGATGTGGCAAGTGTTGTATGAAAAATAGTCAGAATTCACTTTTTTCAGTGCCATTTTAACTTTGAATGGTCACAAACAAGTTGAGGACTAAAAGCTCGCAGAAAATGAATGCTCATAAAATAGATATGGATCACTCTTGCAATGTCCATTGCTTTGTCTTTTAAAACATTGTGTTTTTAAAAAAATTGTTTTACAGAAAAAGAGACCTTCTTGGATCCTTTTGTGTTAAGGGATCTCCTGCCAGCATCTTTGGGAAGTTACTATCGGTATGCAGGGTCACTGACTACACCTCCATGTAGTGAAATTGTGGAATGGATTGTTTTCCGAATGCCTGTCCCCATCTCTTATCGGCAGGTAGGTTGGGATCATAAACAGTTTGCCTGATTCATTATTTTCTTAGTTGTGCTTTTTCTTTTTAACTTACCTGTATTTTTTGGAGTATAAGATGCACCAGAGTATAAGACGCACCAAGATTTTGAAGGAACAATTTTTTTAAAAAAAGTTTTTGCACTCTGCAGACCTCCCCAAAACGGCCCATTTTTTGCAAAAACGGATCTGTTTATTTTTTTTAAAAGGGCTTGAAGAGTCTTTAGGAGACTTGTAAAGTGCTCCTGCGGGGTGAGCCCCCCCAAAACAACCAAAAAATGGCCCGTTTTTCGCTCATTTCTGCCATCCCCATCCCCCAGGAGCACTCTGAAATCCTTCTAAAGGCTGTGCATGGCCATTTTGGTGAAGGGGCGGGATTTCTGGAGGCAAAAAAATGCTGTATTCAGTGTATATGATGCACCCAGATATTCAGCCTCTTTTTTGAGGGAAAAAGGTATGTCTTATACTCTGAAAAATATGGTAACCTGTTCTGACCCCCCCCCCTCCGTACGGTGAGTCCCACCGACACAAGATTACTGCTAGACAATTTATTCACAGTAAATTAACACACCAACAAGACTTTGGCAGCAACCCAGACTTCCACAGGTAAGAAATACACACAATAGCTTCTCCAGCTTTACTATAATGGTTGTGTCCTGCAAAAGGTCTCCTCCCAAAGTCTCTTCTTATATACTCTCTTTGGGGGAGCCTAATCACAACCACCTGGCTCCAATTATCTTCTATATCTCCATAGTTGTTGCCGGCGCTTATCTGCCCGTCATTGCCGGGCATCTGGGACCAACTCCCTTAGCTCCTCCCCACTGCTCCAGGGCCTGACATCTTCACCACTGCTCCAGGGCCTGACATCAGGGACAAACTCCCTTTGGCTTTCACCGCTACTCCATGCCTCAGGCGCCTCCTGGTGGCCAACCAGCCTCTCTGGTCCCTGCTCAGAGTCTGAACCCTGTCCAGGGTCCTCCACATCTTCCAGAGCCGACTCATAGGGTCCCTCACTATCTGAGTCTGTTTGCAGCTCCAACGGCTCCTGCTGGGCCACAAC